TCATTAATTGTATGCAGCTTCGTTCGTTCCAAGTACAGCCGATTGAAAAAAAAAAAAAAGAAAAGAAAAAACTTTTAAGCATTGAAGTGCAGGAGAAAAAAAAAATTGTTCATTGGTTACATTGCTTGAATATACTTTAATAGCCGATGGGAATATCAAACAAGCATTTATATTACTTATACGTGCATTGCATATTCGTCGGCCGTACGTGCGTACTACGTAGATCGTCGTCCGGCCCTATAGACCGTACCGGTGCAGTCTTTAATTGCCCGGACCCGGACCCCCTCTCTAGCTCTGGCAGCGCAGCTCTGTGATATCAATTATATTCTGCTACTCTGCTGGCTGGCTGGCTGGCCAGTGCTGGACGCTGTAAAGACAGCAAATCGGTCTGCGTAGAAATTCTCAAATACTAATATTATACACGCCATAAACCTTGCCTAGCTGGTTACAATGCAACGGGCTATACCCGGTATGTATCCTCAAGAGCCTTCCTCCAAAGTGGGGGGTCTGTGGAGACACGTACGGTATGCAGGGGATTTACTCGTATGTTATACTCTCCCTAGGCCATAGCAGAAAGTAGAAGTGAAATACTCTAACTGAACATAAAGACAAAGATGATGGGAGTGAGGGTGAGAGGGACCCGGGGGGGTGCATATGTATGTATCTGAATCTGCGGACAGCCGGGGTACGGGTGCGGGTAGGTGCGTTTGGTTTGGTAGTGATAGCTATTATATGCATGTGCTATCACTCGCACTTTGCACTTCGCACTTCGCACTCGACGGTATGAGATGGATGAATGACGTGATGCGGGCCTGGCCAGCGATATTGTGGGGTACTAATTAGATATTAGCGACGTTTTGAATATAATAGTGGAGTATAACTTGTCAGAGTAGTTTGCATTTGGGGATGTCCATCCGTATAGTACATTGATCCCTGGTTCGTGTTTTTCGCATATGTGCGCACGTATGCAAAGATAGAGTCAGAGGTTCGAGGATCAAGGGGATATAGTACACACTTTACTAGAGTATGTGATTTTTTTATCTATTTCTGTAGTGCAGGAAAAGGTGATCCAATTGCGGCTGACCGTTATAACGTTATGGGCGCATAGTATACACTTGGGTCGAAAAACCAGTACCCTGGTGGACGCGGGGCGAGTATGAAATCATGATTAGTGCTCATTTGATGCGGGCAATATTAGAGTAGCCATTGACCGATAGATGGATGCAGGGTATCTCATAACGTCGCCGGTCCTTGTACTTGGCCATGGTTAATAGACCCTGATATATGTGTATGTATCTGTCTGCGTTTTTGGACCGTACTGGGTCTACCATTAGAATCTGGTGCTTGTGCATGATCTAGACTTATATGTAGAAGTAGATCTAGTTAGCTTTAATTGGGTCTTTGGTTACGAGATATAGAGCGTAGCCAGTAAGAATTAACTTTCTCAATATCAGATCCTTAGCAGGCGCATTACCTACTTTTATATGACCGCCACCTTTCCTTTAATGACCACGTACTATGATCAGTATAGAAACAAATTTGTAGTATTTTGTTGACCTATTTTCAAGATAGCTTTATAAATTTAACTCAAGGGGACAAGTATATCATCCGGGGAAATAGAACCTCCGTGCTGGAGAACCATGGCGAGTGTTTCCTATGATTTCTATTTTATAAGTTTCTCCGTTACCAATTCTTTCATTCCACCAAAGAATTGCTTGGAAACTCTGGTAGGCGTGGAAATGCATCAATTTTGACGTTTCTCATACAAAAAGTTACGCATTAACCGCACGACTCTCTGTTAAAGGTATTCCTGTCTCTTTACCGACACATTTGCTGATGCCTTTACCGTTAAATGCAAAAAAAAACAAAAAAAAACGACTTGACTGATGGTTTCCGGTGTTTCCCGTTTTTCGCCGGAAAATCAATGTTTTCCGATGAAGCCTTTTCTTTGGATCTCGAGATAGTTGAGTCCACAAACAAAATATTTCGGTGGAGTCATCAAATGGTATCTGGCATCAGCGGGCTTGTAATATTTGGGGAATACAATTTAATTTTAGTGGATCTATTGTTTGGCATATACTCGTAATTTCATAGCGTTTGTGAACATAGCTGGGTCTGCATACACCAAAATCTGGAGCCTCATGCAGGATTTTGCGGGTATGCAACCCAGTTGTGTTCACAAACGCTATGAAATTACGAGTACATGCAGGCTATTCTGGCTTGATGCTCCAGGTATAATAGTAGGATGCCCTTTGATGATTCGTTTCATTGGCGATGGCTTTCGTCAATCATGTGAAACATCACCGGTGTAGTGTGGTCCATGAGCCGGCTCGAGCCGACATATAAGCTCGAGCTGGTTCTGCTTCTGGGAGACAGAAGCTCGCAAGGCTCGAGCTTTGGTGACAGGCTCGTAGACTGGCTCGAGCGGGTGGTCAATGATACAAAAAAAAGGTTATCCTTGCACCAATTGTAGCAAAATGGCAGATATATGCTTCGTTTCATGGATTAATACTGTGAGAAGGAATTAATTGGTTAACTGAGTATTGGAGTGGGTAGAAATCTCCTTTTTGCTTCTTTCATAGCTTCTGGAGCCTAGTTCAAAGCAAATAAATTGAGCTTGAGCCTAAGCTCGAGCCTTAGAGAAAACGGCTCAAGCCGGCTCAGGATCGCTGGAGGGTGAGGCTCACGAGCCTAAAGCTCGAGCTGGCTCGGCTCATGGACCACACTACACCGGTGGCCAAAACCTACCCCCCCCTGTGTATACGCCAAAAAAATGGGTGACAGAAGCGTGACAGGTAAATGCATCTGTAAAGTCGTCGGTAAAGTCATTAAAAAAATCGTTGGTAAAGTTGTCCGATTTCCCTTAAAACGACCAAAATATTGGCATTTCCCAGCGAAAATTGGGACCCCAGAAACGACTTTCCCGACGACTTCACTTAATATTCGAGGTACACATTTCCATGGCCTCTAGAGAAAGCACTCTTTTTTATGTATATTGTATAATAGCGAATACCACTAGAACCCCCATATTGGCACAATGCATGGGCATTATAAAGCGCACGAGCACTGTAAAGGCTTTTTCCTGGCCAGTATAGTTAATCGCAAATTTTTTCAACGAATTTAGTATTGAAAAATCGTCATCCAACATCAATGACATAGCTGTAGCAATGTAATCCTGAAACTGTTATAATCCTATATTAGGTTATGGATATCCTCTTATTCGATGCGGGTGGGTCAATGATCACAAACCGGTAATTCACACAAACGGCGATACTCTTGCATACACACCCGAGCCTGCGTTTATATGCATACGCACGACCATAAAACACCCAAAACAACATCATCAGACCCTTCCGGATTCCAAATAAATAAAATTATACCTGGTCCCGCCGGCGTTCCTTATCCCATCGCCGGCCGGCGGTGTCATCTAGAAACACATGAGTTCTTGCTCCCCGATCTGGGAGAAAACTCATAGAAAGCCAGTTTTGTGACGATCGGACATTTCATCCGAACTACATATAATATCAGCCAATAACATAATATTTTGTATTACCAGAATATGTCGGATCCAGCCTTGATATCTAAGCTAGGCGAACCCGCTTGCGGACGAGATTGTTATAAAACCCGCTGTTATACTAATAAATATGAGATGGGAGCTGATTACAATAGTAATGTGGGGGTGCGGCTTGTTTTGTTCGAGCACGGGGGATATCATGCACGGGTGTCAATGGGGGTCAGTGATTTTTCCGCTACAATTCCACAATAGGCGCCGGTCATGGTTTAGATCGCCCATACCAACTAATGTGACAACATATCAGTAATGACTTGACACCCTCAGGCATTGTGACTTAGTGGCGAATACCGGTACCTGTTTGAGGAGCTAGTGCTCTCAATACGCGCATGCTCGCCTCAGAAGTATTTCCTCGTGAATATAATGTTGTCCTATATATATGCATGAGTATAAATAGTGTTCTAGGTAGGGAGATTGTATATTATTGTGTATATGTCGGCGCAATATGTGTATACGTACTACCTTCAAACAATCGTCTCTAACCAGACCCAATCCAACTCAACGTGAGTCGATAAGATAACTCTGTAGCGGTATAAAGCTTGTTCTAAAGGCTTCCATAGTACTGCTAAAATCCAATGCTATAAAGAAAATTGGGGGCCGGAGTGAAATCCCTAGTTTTTTTTCGCATTAAGGTTATAATTATTCTTGTCATATACTCTATTGTTGCTTCTTATAACAGCAATACCTAGATCCAGGTGTACGTACAGCCACTCTGCAAAAGTGTTCGTGATTCCGATTTCGGAGTGAGACATTTCTCCATAGGTAACCGTGGCGGACCATCAAAAAAACCCCAAGAGAAGACCTTCCCAGTGATCAACGGCGCCCGGAATCAATGAAGAATAAGATCAATGACCTATCTTCTTTTATATATAGTCACGAACTATATTATATATTTTTCGTTGTTTTGAATCTCAACATTAATTAATAACATCAACGTTACGGGTGCGCCACACTGACATTAAAACTAAATCACGAACACTTTTGATGAGTGGCTGTACATCAGGGACGTTTATTTATCGGAATTTAATTTCGCTCCGAGGACTCGAGATATAACTTAAAGTTAGGGTGAGTGTGTTCTCAGTCTCGGTAAAATTTAACTATCCTTATGTAGCTATTGTTTTATTCGTGCAGGTTGGCTTGTTGGAGCGTGTACTTAGATAGAATATGCCACCCGGCCCATATATATCTAATAGAAAAGGAAGGTAGAAGAGTACTGTGCTTTGTTTCATTTTCCCACAATATTTGAGACTCGAACTCTCTGGCTGATATAAAAGGCCTTGGTGAAGAAAACCCACTTATTCCTAGATGTTCAGAAGACGATGCCCATATCGATCATATACGGTATATATATATTATAATGTATTTAAGGACCGAATTCGGATCCAAAACTATGGTGCACCAACCTAGACCCCCCTAAAAGAATCGGGCCTTAACTTTCGTCGTTTTCGAATTTATTCCTGCTTAAGTACGATGTGATCTGCCAACTATGTTAACCCTAACCCACATATATTTTGAACTCACATTATGAAGACTAGAGGGCTATTACCTCAAATGTGGGGTATCCTAGTACTCTAGGTCTCGATTTTCATAGTAAAGACCATCATGTTTTCGGCCAACATGGAATAAACGGTCAATTTCGGTATTCAGAATATATACTGCAGTACGCAGTGCAAAAGTGTGAACCGGAATCAAGCCACTGCATGTACTGCATCTTGAGTTACAGTTGTCCTAATATACTTCCAAGCTCGTCCGTAGGTTATATTTCTGTGCTCTATGGGAGTGTATCAGGGCTCTTGAGAAGAAAAAAACCGTAGGGTAGTAGGTATTTTGATACCTTTTGGATGCCTGTGTGGGTTAGGTTTCACGAGGGGCATCTCACAGTGGCCGGCAATATTTCCGAACTGTTGAGTACAAAGGCAATTCAAATCCTCGTATGGATAAGAAGTTTTCCGTCTCGTTCTCAGTCCCGTTCTCTTCGCTGTTTGTTAATAACCTCAGTTAAAGAATCGATGGCAGCAAGGAAATAGAATCCATGACGCATATTCAGCAGATTTTTGATGAGCATAACGTATAACCATCCTATACACCTTTGCAATTCATTGTTTGATATAAGAATTAATGTCCGAGGAGAATTAATGGGCGCTAATGCTTGTGATATTCATAGATCGTGATCAGCACATGTATTTCTGCACAACTTTGATGATGATCGAGAATACCTTGATGAAAGACGATTGCCAATATTGTATTCAAACATTCTAATCTCATTTAATGTTCCATGATCGCCCCGGTTTGATTATAATGAGTGTTTTAGTCGATCCTTTCCTCCTCGATTGTCTAAGCTTTCCGGCGGCCCCACTGCAAGGCGAACCATTTTCTATTTTACCGGCATCACTCATGGTTCTAGGCAATGATATGGTAAGACTTTCTAGAGACGTTTAGAATATGGGGTTCATTAGCTCATACTGCAAGTGCGGGTCTGAACGCAAGAGATAATCAGAACTCACTCGGGGTACTAGACAAAAGCTGATTTGTAAACCTGAAGTTATTGGCTGGGTCGACTAGCCATACGATGAGTAGGTGCTCTCTCAAACCTATCGGCACTGGATCGTAGAAAGAAAAGTGGGGAGGCGGATCTAGAATGTAGTTAAAATTTGGGTTAGGGTTGTCTTAATACGACGTATGCTACTCAAAGACAGAGGACAGACAACGTAGAATCAAATCATAAGACAGTATCAAAGAGCCTTTTTCATCATCATCAGATTCATCCGCTTCTTCTTTTCTTCTTGAGACTCCCCGACTTCTACCAGTACCCGCGATACGAGGACCAGACAGGCTATCGGTACCCGGGTACCCAATTGGAATCATTGCAAATCACTCGTCAACCCCCAACAATGTGTCATCACGGCCAATTGCAAGCACACTAACGCCTATAGCTAAACCACCCCCAAATATATCATCATAGATAATGCTGTTCATCCAGATATAGATCCAGCGTCCGACCCAAGACAAGACCTTAGCTGGCGGGTAACTATATTTTTTTTTCGTCCCAAGTTCTAGCTAACCTGCTAGCTAACTTGCTTAGATGCTTGATTGATCTACTTACCACTTTGGGTCCAAGGGTCCGACAGGTCGATCACTTATCCGCGAGACACCCCTGCATAGATGGGCAATGCACTCAGTACATACTGTACAATACTGTTGAATAGGGTCTTGCGGGAAGTGGATTTGCGAGAATTGTAAGCTTGGGCATGATCGGTCATTCATTCCTTTATCTGATTCCAGTTGAAACACAATTTAATGGCTAAGATGTGTAGGTACATACGCACACTAGTTACTCGATACATGAGTACATACCTACAAAAAAACCCAAAAACAGATCCAAAAATATATCCGGTTGACTGGAGTAAAGAAATGATCATGGTGCAGGTATGTAGTTAGGCGGCGTCGCACTGTAACAATGCGTACCCGCCATGATATACGTATATACGTATACACAGATTGTAATTGGCTGGTCTAGACTCTGTCTCAAACTGTGTTCCCCGAAGGGCAAAAAAAGAGGCCTTATATCTCGTGGTTGATCGGACCTGACTGTATGTCTGTATTTACGAATATGATCCAGTTAATGATTTGAAAAGCGCTTTTAAGCACTGGGCGAAGAAGACATTGTTTCAAGTGACTGGAGATTTGATGACGACGACAACAGCTAACAGACTAGCTCTCCTCCCCCGCCTTCTGTATCCGAGATATTGGTGTGTGAGGGAGGAGGACCTCCTATTTGCCAGTTATGTCTGCCCATAACCAGGTAAAGGAAAATGATGTGACCGCGCGTATCTTGAGTTGTGCTCTACGTACATGCCGAGTCCATAACTTATCTAACTTATCGACGTTCAGTTATCGAGGGCACATTCCTCATATTCATTAATTCATTCCTCCCTTTCCTCCCCCCCGTCAAGCTCCCCGATGGTCCTGCTGGCATCGAAGAAAAAACAAATAAAAACAAAAAATCTTTGACCTGCCTGGCCGGTTTTCCCGACAAATTCTCTAGGTAATTGTGATCCGCAGGCCGCCAAAAAAGACATGAAACACACAGGTCCCCTCCGAAATCCACATAAAGTACAATGTATGTACGTGCTGTCATGTACCTTACTCACCTCCACCGACGACCGCCGCTCTCCGGACTGAGACAAATAACGAATGTAAGGAAAGACCGCCACGTCCGTGCACGTGATCCAAGTCCAAACCCGGATCCCCCCTCGCAAAAGAAAAATAAAAAAATAAAAAGCTTAGACCTCTTCTCTGATGTCTGCTTACTTGCCTAGGTACTGCTGGTGCTCCCAGGCCCACGGGACAAGTCCCACGCACGCGGAAAAGAAGATATGCCCACCCCTTCCTTTCCCAAGTGGTTCCCCTAGTGGTGTGACCCCGATATACATAACTAACAAAAGTGGGCGGGTGTGTCGCCGGTGCTGGTGTGGGTGTTCCAGGTTTTAGATGATGCCAACAAGCTTGGTGGTAGAGTGAGGTCTCAATAGGGGAGCAAACACCGCCACTGAAGATTGGGAGACATGCAGCAATGCAAATAGACAGCATGGCATATCGGATCTGTGTTGTGCGCCCTATGTCCAACTACATATCGTCATGTATGGTGTGCGGTGTGAGTATGCGCTTACCTGACACGAAATGCTCGTCTTCGTCTGCTTGTTCTTGTTCTGGTGATTTTTCGCGATCACCCGGTCGTCTAACCAGGAGAATGTCAGTCAGTCAAGTCAGGTTCGGTGGATGTGATGTTTCTGAACAGCTACTAGGTAAGCTACCTACATATTTAGCTAGTAGCTAAAGCTAACCCACCAACCAACCAGGACAGTGTTTCGGAATCACAATCAAATCTTCGTAATGTCGATCCCATGGTGGGACGTTTCTGTAAGCAGTACGGTGGGTAAGTAAGATTAGATTAGGTTTTCGTAAATCTCTTGCTTGATGTTTCGCGTGGTCCGTTGCATGTTAACCGCCATTGTCGTTGGGGTAGGCCGGGGAGGGGGAACCTCCGAGTGATCTACCATGAATGACCGTAGAGGTGGTAGTACCGGCGATCGTGAATACATCCAGCACAGCACCCAATCCAAAACCGAGACCGAGGCTGCGGATGTACCCATACATACACGTACCCACACATAGGGTACAGCACCGCACATACATGTAATTCGTGATTCGATTCCTTTCGGAAATAAGCTTTTGTCTTGCTGGGCGCCAAGGACCGTCTCGAAAGTCTGCTGACTCTCTCTTTCTCTTTCTGTGAGTGTGAGTGTGAGTGTGTGTTTGAATGCAAGTGTGAGTCTCTAGCGACTCTCGCGGTAATCAGTGACGGTAATCAGACATTTCTCGCTGGTGCTGGTGTAAGTCAGACTTACCATCCCTTTTAGAGTGCCACGGGTGCCACAGGAAGTCAAAAAGGGTGTCGACAGTGGTCATGATGATGTCTAGGCAGCACTGCATACAATAGAATTGCAATACATTACGGGTTTGCAACACAGATCAATATTCTCTATCACGCCTCCTTTCCTCACTCAGACCTAAACCTGTGGCTAGGCACTCCGATCACTCACTTCACGCACGCACCACCGCAGATAAGATTCCGGGCTTATTTCCCGCTTAGTCACTCGATCATATCACCTCAACCCCCTCAACCCCCCCTCCATCCCTCTGTGATCACAGCCTTGCACTCGCTCGAGCTCGCTCGGGTGGATAACCGGCTTCTCGAAAATGAAGGTGGAGATTTGGAATGATCATGCAACTTTAAACACCCCCCCATCACGAAACTAAAACCCGCGCCCAGGTACCACAACCACCACGCCGTGCGGACAGCGTACAGGGTATATCGGGTTAAATACCTTGGGTAAATACGTTCCCTGCGGTGGACCCTTTCGAAACCTCCAAGTAGCGAAGGGCAGAGTAGAGTGGAATGGTAAAAAACTAATCCCAGGGCCCAATTGCAAAAAAGAAGCAGATATGTATGATGTATGAGGAGCGTTGGGTTATGTATAAAATTTATATGTACCTTGTCTATATTACCTGACCTTACCTCTCTCTCTACCCTACCGCCACGTAGGAAGCAAGCAAGCAAGTCAAGCAAGCAGTGCACGGTTACCCAAGCGCAAGCGATCTCAAACCCCAACCGATGGAGAGCAGAGGTAAAAAAAAAGGTAATGTTGTACATAAAGTGAGGACGTACGTTAGTTTGCTTGCCCCTTAGAGCTGCCTCCACGCGCGGGGGGAACGGCGAGAAAACTCAGGGAAGAGAAAGAAGAAGAAGGAGTACATAAAGGCAAATTCCGATATTGTAATGTGAACCCTTTCCATCTAGCTACATACCATTTAAACGGAACAGTGTTAGAGAGAAGAGCAGGTAAATACCGTCGGTACATGGAACATTCGGAGTGTAGAGTACGATACAACATGTACCATATTGCACATACCGTATATTCTCCACTCCTACATACCTCTTCTCATATCTGACCAATCTTAAAATAGCCTCCTCATCATGAGCGCTCACACGTACAGTACACAACTGATACGATCTTCCTCTTTAATTTCTCGAAATGCCTAAACTAAACGCTCAGCCATCCGTCCAGGCCCAAAAGTTTCCAATCCCCCGGTATTTCGTTTCCACTTTGCCTGCTGACGGCGTCCTCCACTAGCTCCGCTCCGTCCTGAGCGCGCGCGGAATATATATTCAAATCAATCTCACTATGTGAGCATATATAACTTGGTATGTGAGTACATGTAATTAGCAGCAGCACCAGCCGGTACATGTAACTCTACCCTACATGTAATGTAGATAATGTATGTGATAGGTACATCGTACCTACATACATGAGCAACGTGCCCCTAAATAGACGTCCGACTACTCCTAGAGTGGAGTATGAATATGTATGTAGGTACATGTGTTGCAATACTTTTTCCAATTCCTCGTACCGTACCGTAACGTAACGTATACGAGAATCCTACCAGGAAGGGAGAATCGAAACGGAATTCCAGGGGGCCCGCGCCGACGCCGGCGTATATATTTTTTTCTTTCTCATAGCCAACTGCTAGCTGGGAAAAGCACACAATATATTCCCTCTGCCGCTCCCACTGTGCAGCAGCAGCAGTATCATGAATCGAGAGGGAGATAGAGGTTCAGCTCATCAAGCCCCAGCCAGCCCTACCCTGCAGTGCTGGATGATATGTTTGTTGCCCAGCCTAGCCTAGCCCGCGCGCGCCTTAACTGCCTTCCTGCCTACGTCCTAGCTAGGCAGGCAGGGACGTCCAACCTCGGGTCGGTTCCAGAATTGAAAACAGTTGAAACACGGGGTGGGGAGCCCGGAGTGGATCAGGACGCGCGCGGGGGTTGTAACTATATGTATGTGTCTGTGTCTGTCTGTGTGTGGGGGGGTGAGGTGACATGGTATTGTATTATTACTTGTGGATAATGTTGTTTTTTTGCTCTGCGGCTTCGCTTAAATCGCTATAAACAACAGCAGCAGGAGTATTACAAACCCTACCTAGGTAGCAGGTACTCTAGGTGAGAGAGTGATAAACCAACCCCCGGGCCCCCCGAATCGTGGTGTTTTTCCTTTTCATAATTAACTCCCGATGCCCGATTTGCGTGCGTGGGTTCAGATGGGCCATGGGGTGGGATCATTGTTCGATGTGCCATCGGCCTACAGTTCGTGCATGGGGTCCGTCGTCGTTGGGCTGCTACTTTTGTAAGATATCCTGGAGTAGACGGAGGATTAGAGTAGAGGTATGTAGAGCAGAGGTATGTGGTGTAGGTAGAGCACTCTAGAAATACTCCCTCACCTACCTGCCTATCTAGAGAGAGTAGCTAGAGCTACATGTAGTCAGTCTAAAATATGCACTCTAGCCAGGTAAAGTACAGTTCTGTGCAAGCCAACGTCCAGCCGGCCAGTCCACGTCGAAATGCTCTACACACTTCCTTCCACTCGTAGTAGAAACGACGAAGACAACGGCGGATGCATGCCTATCTTCACCGACGACGGACGGCCGTTGATTAATGCAGCTTCTAGAGCATGTTGTAGAGGTGTAGAGTAGGGATACCCATCTAAGGCTCGGCAAGACAATCACCTAGAATGAGTACTCAGTCAGCTCTCCCCCTCCACATACAACCCCCCTAGCTAGACATATTATAACCTAACCCCCGATTGTGATTGTCTCGTGCGGTCGATAAGCCTTAATCACCACCCTACCCACATACATACATACATACCTGAAGCAGGGATGATGCGCTGCTGCAGCCGGGATATGGAGAGAGAACCAAAAGAACCTTCGAAAAGGCCGGGATGGGATGGGATCGAAGGGGGGTCGAAAAAAATAAAAAAGCCGAAAAAAGTGTTGCACATAAACTAACTTACCTTTTTTTTCTTTTTTCTCTCGCTCCTCTTCGCACATGATGCGGTGAAGGTGTGAAGTGTGAGACCGTCCTGTTCGATAGAGCGGGAAACTTCCCGGTGGTTGGTGACTAATATATTGCATGAGAGGGACAGTGATCGATCCAACAGGTTACGCAGCCGATGGGAGACAAGACAAACAAAACACCCCCAGCCCAAGACAGAGCAGAACAGGGTGAGACAGGTAATGTAGCTAGACACTCTACTCTAGGCAGTAATAGTAGGGTAATAATGATAATAATAGAGCAGGGTAGAATGTGGGATGGACGGATACGATCATGATAGTAAGAGGTAATGATCAAGGGGCCGGCATGGCACCGCCGGCCGGGGGAGAGAGGATCATTACATATGTAACTACATCGTAATTATAAGAGCACGTTTTTATTGTTCTTGTAGAAAACCGGCTCTTGTATTCTTATTCCCCTAAGCCCTCCTCCTTCCTGTCTAGCTAGCATGTTCCATGGACATTCCTTCCTTGAGCGTCCGTCCGCGCGCCGCCCGACTTCCCCATATTGCGTTGCTCATGGTAGATGGACATCGATGCAGATAAAATAGTAAGACTGTGATCTATATCTAGCTGATCTAGTGATCATCAGAGAGGAGAGTCAAACCAAGTAATTAACTAAAACTAAAATACTCGTATTATATACTGCCAGTGATGATGATGATACATGTAACCCACGTATACACCCCCTCGTAACGTAACGTAACGTTTCCAAACCCATGCATCCTGTTCAGCGTCCATCTATCTAAAAGTACGAAAAATCGGAAAATGAAACCCCGGCTAACCTGACACCGTACACCCTATGAAATCTTTAATAATCACATGCAGCAAAATTGCCGACGAACGACCACGACAATGAAGCTACTAACTACAGTAGTAGATAGTAGTTAGGCTCGAGCTGAGCTGTACTTCTAAACCACCATCCCTTCTCTCCCGAAAAGCAAAAAACTGAGAAAAAACTAAAAAACTAAAAAAAAAACTAAAAAAATGCTCTTGAACTGAACTGCACTGCACACTGCACCAAGTATGTGCGGCAAAGGGAAATGATAGAAGGATAATACTGTAATTATATCATGGATGTAAAAAAGATTCCCTATGAACCCTAAAAAAAACACCCGTTCTCGTGCTATGCTCTGAAACCACCACATACGTATGTGGTGTAATATAATATTGATACAATTGGTTTTTGTAAAACCAAACTAATGCAAAAAGGTAAGAAAAGAAAAAAAAATGCTTTTCCCCGCTAAGACACCCCAGTATCATGATGAATTTCTGATAAACGCAAAAAAGGTTAATGTAAAAAAAGAACACCCGCCCAATAAGAAAAATAATAGTAATCCCCAAAAATGCCGCTATAACACCAAACGCTGAATGAGTGGACAAAGAAAACTCATGATAATGATACAGGCCTGTAGCTCAGTATGTAAAAAAAAAAGACAACTCGAACTTGACCTCTTCGCAAAAAATCAAATAACCCCCTATGAGCAACAAAAAAACAAAAGCCAAACCAAACCCATATCAGACAGTGTATCGCAAAAAATGTATAAAACAGAACACCCAAGCAAAAAAGCCAAAACCACCAAACCCAGTATAATATAGACAGTAAAAGAAAAGTAGAGTAAGAAATATTTACCACCCTCTATTAGTCTGAGAAGCATAAAAAGAAATATCGTACTGTGGCTGGAAGGTGTTTTGGTAAGTGCCATCCCATTCTCCACACTCCTCCTCATCGTACATCATTGGCTCCTCATCGTCCTCCTCGGCCTCAAGCTTTCCCTTGACAATCTTCCCCGATGACTCATCCTTGATCATCATCTCATCCGGCAACCCAAAGCTCCTCTCCAAAACCAATCCCTTTCCCAATGTGGCGTGAGGCGAGACAGGCGAGCACCCTGTAGGTGTGGAACAGTTGGTGTAAAGAAGATCTGGAGGCGAGTCGTAAAGGCCCATTCCCCTGAGCTCCTTGTTGCCCTGGTTGGGCAGGAGAGACAAGTCGTTCTCATATTCCTCATCCTCATCCTCGTCGCCATCGGATCCAGGGCTGCCCAATGCTGGGGAAGACATGCAGGGTGAATCCAAGATGGTATCCTGGGAGCTGATGCTGCTGGCCAACGAGGGGACAGAAGACGAATTGAAGGCTGCAGGGACATCATAGCTGTTGTACTCTTGAACCTGGTCATTCTGATATCCGGGAACAAGCATATACGAGGGTACTGAGTTGTGATAATATTCGATCTCCGACGCAAGAGGCGATCCTGAAGGGGTGATTGGAGACCCATTGTTGTTCATGAACGAAGATCTGGGGTACTGCTGCTCGAGAAACGGGCTGGGCTGGCAACTAAATGCATCCTCCTCCGCACTCATATATCCATCCTGAATCCCCATTGAATAACAATCCTGCATTGGGACAATCCCATTGTCGTAATATCCCGTCGCAAACTGGGGGTACACTGCTCCATCCGTATTCTGATATATGTTCTGCTCGGCGGGCAAGAAGCAATACAGCTCCTGTTCTGTGAACATTGGGTAATTTGAGAAATTTGAATTTGCGTAGTAGATCTCGTTCTCGTTTGTGAAAGACTCATCCATTGTGGTGTATGAAGACATTATGAGTATTTGGTTTTTGGTTGGGGCGTTACTGAAGCAATGTTAAAAGATGATCTTTTACAGTATGTAGTCGTTATATATATGATATATATAAGTATTCAATAGAACTTACAATTCAATGAAGTATTGTGAGTGAGTAGTGGTAATGATGATGATGTGATGATATTTTTGATAGACGTAGATATGGATTGTGGGGGGGTGGGTGGAGATACGATAGTGATGGAGGGAGGAGGAAGAGGACTGATAAGTAGTATATGTAGCTTCAGTTCCCAAGCCACATGTGCACGGTGAAGCGGCTGACCAGAGAAACACTCTGCTGGGGTTGGGGGCACGGAAGAACCCAAAGGAGGGGGAGGCGGAACGGAAATTGAAAGGGGGTGCCGGGTCATTATAATAAGAGGTGTCTAAGTGACGATGAGTAGTTTGAATATGTAGTTGCTATTAGACTAGTAAGACATGGGGCGGGGAACTGGGGTTCCAGAGAGGAGGGATGGATGGGATAGATGGGAGGGGGGTCAGTGTGTGGGACGCTTGGGAAAGACCATCATGCACGCGGCTGAAAGATCTCGATTCAGTAGGCATGGAGAAGTTCGACTACATTTTTGATGGCGTACTGTGCAATGGGCGGCTTCCCGCGGAGACATGTAAAGTATCAGGATTTCAATAACGTACATGGCGTTGGCTGGCTAAGGTAGTGAGGAAGGGAATAAAAAAATGGGAAAAAGAAAAGAAAAAAATATGCAATGGCAAGGATATGTATTGTAAAAAAACACTAAAAACACACAATCCGTCTGCCTTTGCCTGCCTGCCTATCTGCTTGCCTACCTTACTTTACCTACCGGCCTACGTACATATACGGCGTGTGGTAAATTTGTAAGATGAAGGCTTTTGGTTGGCTTGGAATGGGAAAATTATGATACGTACGCACCGCATTCGCGTGTGGGAAGGTGCATCAGCAGTAGCAGCATCATGTAACAGCAGAGAGAGGAGAGGAGAGATAGAAGCAGTTGGCGCTGCTTCTGCTTCATCCTCCGCTCTGCTGCTCTACATTTCGATATTGCCTTCCTGTTAGGCAGGGTAGCCCACCATGGTAGCCAGAGACGATATGATGGAAATAAGGGAGAGAATGCCGGCTGAAACAGATGGATAGGTTTGCAGTTCATACTTCCTGTTGGAAGGGATGGAATTGATTGGGGAGGAGGAGCCCGACATATGCGGGAACTGAGGCCATACATGTGGCATGGAGGGAGGAGGAGGAGATACTCTACCAGACCAGACACAGACACAGGACAGACATGGAGTCAGAAATGTACGATGATAGTATGGTATGGTATAGTTCAGTTTGGGGTGTGTTATGGATGGATGGATGAATTGTGTCCAACCTGCCTAGGTAGGTAGGCGTAGTGTATGTAGAATACACCAGTATCATGAGGGGAGGGTGAGTGGACCAGCATTGATCATGGAGTAAGTGTGGATATGGATAGGATGTATGTATGTATGTGATGTGAATTAGGTATTCATTCAGACTGAGTCTCAAGAACAGAGACACAACATGAATTCAAGGGACACAGAGACACAAAACCATTAGAGACAGGCATATCAAGAGGAGTAGGAGGAGGGACGAGGCTCCAACTCCTTCCTGGTAGACTCCAACTTCCTGAGCCAGGATGATGGATGGCGCATCGACCGCCGACAAGATTCCATCATCCGAGTTAGCGAGGGCTGCACATACATAAAGGTAGAGCAGGTAGGAACGGTGGATGGAACAGCGGGTAGTTAAGCTGTCTGCGTCCTAGCGTCACCGAACCTTACCGGGCATGCATCTCCAATCGTCATGAAGCAAACGGGCGCAGGGCGCAGGGGGCCAGATTTGGGGTGGATTGTGGGATCATGGCTTGTGTGGAGATGTGCAGGGGTCAATGTTAAAGGGTGCAGTTGAAGAGATCAGTTTGATAGGCCTACATGATCAGGTAGGGTAGGGGTAGGGGTTGGGTGTGGGTATGTGGGTGGTGGTGGGGGATGCTTGGAGGAAGAATCCCGTTGGGTTTCACCTACAAATAATACCGAGACGGTAGCAGACCCATCATCCATCGCTGGTTCAACTGCATGGCGAGCGGATGACAGTGCTTTATTTACTCTTGTGGTACTTACCTTGCAGCATCCTACATACATGTATCGACATACAACTTACCTTAGACTTTTTGTGGTAGAGGGTAGTTAGAGGAAAGTCGTCCAAGCATTCAAAAACGCCATGCATCCAGATGAAGCATGGATATTCCCGAACACTCTTTTTTCTTGCACCCCACGAGCTCGTGTTGTATCTAGAGTGCAAAGGATACATACCGTCCTACCTCGCCTTCGTCGTAGTCGTAGTCGTCGTATGTATGCACCTTGGTTACCTTTTCATCCCCTCACCGCCGCTTGCTTCTGCCTCCTTCTTCTCCCTACATCCACCCCCATCCATATCCACCTTATCCCCTCGCTTGCTTCTTTTCGCTATGGTGCTCATGTCCGATATTCCGCTTATCCACAAATATTAAAACACCTGATATGAAACGGAACATCCGAAGGAATAAGATGGAACAAAAAGGAAATAAATCATTTTAGGTAAAAGATGAGGTGATGATGATCCCTTCCTCTCGTCTGCTTTAATTAACTTCATGTATGTACCTACTCTTGAAGCCGATATAATCGATGGATCGGAGATGTTGTTTTTTGCCTTTGCTATGGGCATGACGGTAGATTGGATCTCCCCTTCGCCCTCCCCTCACCTCTTGCCTGGCTGCATGATATGCTCACTGCTTGCTCAATCATAATAATAACAAAAAAAAGAGAGAGAAAACAATAACAATAATACTCAGGACAATCATAACAATAATAACAACTTTTCAGTCCTGTTTATGAGCCTGAGAGAGACCAAAAACATAGTTCACGGGTGGCTTATGCATATGATCAGACATCGTGAAAACCACACAAAGCAGAAAAACAACAGACGTCAAGCCATCAAAAAAAAAAAAAAAGGAAAAAAAAAAACATTAGTTAGCAAGGAAAAAAGGAAAAGAAAAAAAAGACGAAGACCTAGACCACTCAAACTTGCCTTTGTCACAAGCCTCGTCTGTGGTTGGTTGGTCGGACAAGGCCTTGCTCCAAAATGAGTTGGTTCTCTATTTCTACTACGATACGGTTCAACGAAAGTGAGTCGCGACTCGCGAGGATGTGATGCTGCACGGACGCACGATCAGAAAGCCGAGTTGTGGGTCAAGGTTGACGCCCAGCCAGATTGCCGGGACAGCCCCAATTTTCTGCCAATGGCCGTCGATTTTGTCCATATTTCCAAACAGCCAACACATGGTCTGAAGCGGAGAAGATGCAGCAGAATGACGCGGATGAGTATGTGACTAGATACCAGCCCAGTGTCAGAAAACTCTCGTGATGGAAGCTAGTTGGCGATGTAATAAGTGGTTAGAGGCATATTTGGCTATCGCTGGTACATAGGTGACACTACTGATCTAACTCTAGAACGATCGCGGACGAATCGGAGGACGCGTAACTTGCTCTCTCTCTCTCTCTCTTCTCTCTCTGTGTTCTCAGGCTCACAAGTTGCGCCGAGGCCTGGGAAAAAATCTCACATACGGTAATAAGTCTTGCCCCACATAAATAGCCTTTGCAGTGCTGCTACTCCTGCTCCGGGTATGGATTGATGACTGACTGGGCCACAGATATGTATATAGCCAGACAGGCAGTTAATTTCTGTGCTACATACTGTTAATCCACCACGGGTGGATGGGGGTTTCCATGTCAATTGTGTGTGATCTCAAAAAGGATAATCCAAATATCCTCCTTGCCTTTTAGCTTTGTGTACCTTCCGAACTCGCGCCCAATTCCGGGCAGACAACAGCATCAATGCAAGATGACGGCTGAAGGATGCTAGGGGGCTGAATTCGAAATATACATGAGCCACTTTACAGTATCACACAGGCGATGGATGATATGTAGAGTTTGGGGACGGGCGTCCCAGCTTAGGTGGTACATGCTACCTAGTAGACTCAGTCTCTCACTAAATTATCATTGACTGATCACTCATTCACCCACAGGCTCTGTTCACTTACAACCTTTGACCGGCCAGTGTCAATAACACTTCATTCCTGGTTGATCTTGTCGGTAAGTGAGCACGCATATTAATCCACTTATTAAGGGTCACTTACGCCGCCGTACCACGAAGAGGAGAATTCCCTCTAGTAGGCAGTGAATGAGTGCCCCTGGCCCCTCGCCCTATCACTGTCCAGGTCTAGTCCATCAAGATCTGCAGCCCGTGTTCGCTCAAGGGCCAAGAAAGCAAGTTTCGCTTATTTATCTGCTCCACCAGGGTAGCCTGGGCATAGGGTCAAGGATATCGTTTCCTTAGATAACCCACTCGGTTCGCCCCCACAGGAAGGAAGTCTGATAGAAATACCTAACTCGGGATCTGGAAATTCTGGACCCCGTCGCCGGCAAAATTTCCAGAAAACCGATTCGACCCAGGAGGCGCTAATTTGCCATGTTTTATCAAACGTCATCGCCTGTCTCCGAGCCTGCTCCCCGAGCGAGGTGAGCCGGCAGCCAAGTTGTCCTCCACCCAGCCTACATAACGAGCAAGGGCCCTGGGAACTAGGACCCAACCAAACTAAATCATGATCCGCTAGGTGCAAAAGTAGTAAAGGAAAAAGAAAAGATGAAGAAAGATGATGGGGAAAAAGAAAAGAAGAAAAAGACATGGATCGCCCGACCGGTTGGCCATGAACTTTCCTCGTGGGTGGGAACGAAGATGATGGAAAAAAAGAAAAGAAAAAATGGAACACAAAAGATGTTTCAACCAGGACGAACTTGTTGGAAGAAGAAAGTGCAATCTTAGAGTTGGGCCAAACCGAAAAGGAAAAAAAAATATAAACGCCTTCTTCCGAAGATTCCGGTGTAGGCCATTCAGTATGCGAAAACGTAACCAGCCGCGCGCCGCTGGCTGC